GGGGGACCCCATAGGAACGCATTAAATTCCGTATACAGTAATGCGTTCCTATGGGGACAAAACTCACCGGTAAGCGAAGATTCCCCATCCGGCCGCCATTTTCGCCACCTCGGTAAGCGAGGGCAGGGCGCGAAAATGCTGCGGGCGGCCCGGTAAGCGAGGGCAGGGCGCGAAAATTTTGCGGGCGGCCATTTTATTCTTCTGGCAGCCATTTTGGAACCACCGATCAGCTGTTCTGCAAACATCGCAATGCAAAGATCAGTAAGCGAAACGCTTACTGATCATCGCAATGCGATGTTTTGCCACCTAAAACATCGCAATGCGATCTCATTAGCGATCGCAAAAACGCGTCGCTATGCGGATTCGTCATTAAACAGGCGCTCGTTAAGTGAGGCACCACTGTAGTAATATAAAGAGTTAGCAAAACTGGTTTCCTTATCATGGCGATGCAGGCTGTGAAGGAATCTGCAAAACAAATTGATCCAAATACAGTACTGTCTATTGAATACTGCATTTCTGCATATGTATACAGAATACTGCAGTAATGGAGGCCTTTCTGTTTTTTAAAATATCATTTTCCAAACATTGTAATGGATATTATGTGCATTTGTATGCAAACTGGCTTGTTAAAATTGCATGTGTACAGTTGAAGTTTGAGTTGACTGAAAGTGCCACAGATCTTCATCACATTGTTTCTGGTGTTTTAGTCCATTGTAAGAGTGAAAATTTATCCATGCAGCTATTATGCACGCATTTTGTATTTACAGTAGGACCCTCATATCTGCAGGATTGGTATCCCTGGTTTCACTTATCAGTGATTTGCCGCAGCCTAATAAACAACATACAGGGACACCCCCTTGTGGACTTTGTTCTGCCCACTTGTATGTTGGATATGGGGTTCCCTAGTATTCTTGGTTTCAAGCATCCATGCCAGATTGTGGAATTTATTGTTTGCAGATATGAAGATCCTACTGTATACAATTTAACCATTTTGAACCTTATGGGTATAGACTAAGGCTGGTGTTCACAGTAGACAATCTGTTGGCCTCTATGTCAGAACCATCATAAATTATTTTGCCACTGTTACCGCTGCATGTGATGGAATTCCATGGATTATCCCACCATAGCCAGAAGATGAAATGGGACACTAGGGTTCTTTTTAAATCTTTGCAGTTTGGGTTTTGGGAAGTCCGTGCTTAGGCTTTCAGGCTTTCAATTCAGTTCAGGAACCAACTCAATGTAAAACTTCAGCCACCAAAAAATAGATGCCAAGAAGAAAAAGATGCTCTGTACCTATTAGAAGCCTAATAATTGTGTTCCTATGACCTAGTCACCGGATTGATTGTGTTAGAGAAAAGCTCATAAGATTAATGAAATAAAGAATTTTATTAAAGAATTTCTATGAATACAGTATTATGTTGAGGTTGCTTAAAGGTATTTAAGCTTTGTTATCATTATTAAGAAAGGCTTTCCCAGCTAGGTGAAATCTCAATAGATAGCCCTCAAATCAAATGTCTATAATCTGTGCCCTTGCCAGTCCCATACAATGAAGAGTTTAGGCTGAATAGTTGTCTTCCTTGGCCTCCAGCATGTTTGCTGCTTCTGGGATAATTCAAGGATTGCTTGCTGAACTTTCTGAGTTCTGCTCCTCCATCTGACCTCCTGCTGGCCTTTGTCTTTCAGCAGACAGCTTTTTCTGAAAATAAGCAAATCTGTCCTAAACTCTTGAGTAATCATGTTCTTTATGAGCAGTCCAATTTGTTCACTTTTAGATTAGTAAATTTGTTGCTAATCTCAATTGAACTTTATCATCTATCCAGTATCTATATAAACAAAAGGCAGAGTGTCGCCCTAGTCACTTTCAAAATGTCAGTTTAAAGCCCCTCCCCCATAAGTAGGGCAGCCTCAAGTTTTCTTATGCCCAGTATAGAATAACAGCCGCCCAGAGTGGTCGTATAGACCAGATGGGTGGGATATAAATCAAATAAATAAATAAATAAATAGAGGGAGGCTTCTGACCTAATCAGTTACCACATAACCTGACTCAAAAGTTCTCATATAAAATAAAACCACTACAAGTTGTAATCAGACAGATACAAATCCAGTGGTTGAAATCCAGTGGTAAGTCACAGCTAGAGTATGCCTATTGAATCAGTGGGACTTATGAAGTTGACTTACAAAATCCTCAGTGAGTCTGTGCTAGATGAGACTACTGAATTTTAGCCAGTGAGTGTTAAGCAAGCTGGGTTATGAAGGGACCATTATATTCTGTTCCTTTATCTAAACTTTGGTTATCATTTATGGAAACTTCCCTAAATACCAAAAGTGTAAATTATTGTCCATTTTTGTAGAATTTAAGCCAAGCTTTAGTTTAATTCATAGGAAAAATTTAAAATGTCAGTTGATAAGTGGTCACTTTTCCTGATAAGATAGCTTTATTATAATTCAGCATGTGGGCCACTGGTACGAATGGCATGGAGATTGTGTCTTAGCACTCTTGTTGCTTAACCTCTTTCTGAATAATAAGTTATCCAAATTGCATGTTTTAGGGTATTGTTTTCAAGAGTTGATCAACTCAGACAATGTACTTCTGCTTTATGCAGATGACATAATGTTATCATAGACCCAGGTAGACTTTGAAGACCTCTTATAAATTTTCAGATTACTGCAAGGCTGTGAACCATTGGTTATAAATCAAGAACGTATAAAGCTGTGAAGCAGATTGTTGATCCACCTAGTCCAGCACTGAGTATCTGCTATGGCTGAAAGTAGTTCTTGAGGTATCAGGCGAGAGTCTTTACTGACCCTACCTGGAGATTCCTATTATTCTCTTGAGGTTTCTTATCCAAGTACAGTACTATCCAGGGTCAAATCTCCCTAGATTTCAAAATCAGATTGAGTGTGTTTAGGGTTGCTTGAGAAAAGCAAAGTGATGCCTTTTACACATGAATAAGAAGCATGTGATACTCAGTGTGATGTGATGGACAGAGTGATGGACTGTGATTCAAGAAACCTGGGTTCAAACCTGCCTTTTGTCATGGGAACTCATTGGAGAGGGTGTCACTGGTAAAACCACTCCTTAAATACGTAGCTTACCTTGAAAGCCCTGTTAGAGTTGCTATATATCAGGCCCAACCTGACAGCACATGACATAAGAAGCATGAGTAATTATTAGGTGGAGACATAATTGAAAAAATAAATAATTTTAAATATTCACAAGATACCTTGCAGTCCTTGTTCTGCACAATTTAATTTTAAAATGTTCCATTAGGTAAATTGGGTACTTCGTAGCTTACCTTGAAAGCCCTATTAGAGTTGCTATATATCAGGCCCAACCTGACAGCACATGACATAAGAAGCATGAGTAATTATTAGGTGGACACATAATTGAAAAAATAAATAATTTTAAATATTCACAAGATACCTTGCAGTCCTTGTTCTGCACAATTTAATTTTAAAATGTTCCATTAGGTAAATTGGGTACTTCAGTTGTATTGCTGAGGTTCTTTTTCATAAAAGAGGGAAAACATATACCCTCAAATTTGTCAGTGAATAAAAGCCAAGTTTGACAATAAACTTGGACTCCAGCTTTGGAAAGTTCCTAGGAGTTAGGAATCTACAGAGGAAATGCAGTCTCCTTTAAGAAAAAACTTCTGGTGCTTTGTGATGTGTATCTACTACAGTAACTTGAAACTTTGCATGATCTTTTGCAGTAGTGGTTGTGCTTTTATTTCCAAATTTATTGGTTTATTTTAATTACAGCTATGTGTGATCATGGTTGAAATTTGTATGTGTGCTTGTGGCTGAAATGGAAACTCAATTGGCTTTTCAACAGAAGATTTTTATTTTTTAGCCTACCTTAAAATAGTTTTAAATGTTACTGTCTACTCCGATATTTTGTGATGGAGACAGTTAAAATGATGATAACTCAGCTTATTTTAACTGTGACCATGAAATCAATAATAAACAAGAACTTATTTCTAAATAAAACATTGTTTTATGCCAAACTTCTGACATTCTAAATATTCAGTTTTCAAAATTCAATTAATTCCCTGTTTTCTGCAGTGTTCCTAACAGAGGCTAAAGCCAATTCAGTTTTAAAGAGATATCCACGAGCTAATGGTCTTTTTGAAGAATTTAAGCAAGGAAATATTGAACGTGAATGCTTTGAAGAACGCTGTAACAAGGAAGAGGCAAGAGAAGCTTTTGAAAATGATGAGAAGACAGTAAGTTATTGTACATTATAGAGTTTGCTTCATAGGTTAACAGTTTATGTGACATTTTACATGGATTGCATATAAAATGAGCCTTGGGGCAGATTCTTACCATGAAGAATTAAGCCAGTTAAAAGTGATACTTTGCTCTAAGTCAGCTGCTTTCTCCTGAAATGTTAATCCAAAACTGGCCTCCAGCAACAGATGACTTACTCTAGCTTCTTGGTACTTGGTATTCCATAATCCACATGTATATGTATGTTTGATTAACCTGCATAAACAGAATTATCAAAGCTTGGGGATTCAGACACAAGGTTGTGACTCAAAGGTGCCAGGCTGAAAAGTGTTAGCAAATAGTGTGACAGAATGTGGTAAATTTCACTGATTTCATTGAGACTTGCACACTATGGTGTAATTGCTTTCAGAGAGGCTTACTCTCATGTAAATAGCTATAGAATTGACTATATAACATTTTACATTAATGTGGTATTTCGATCAATTTAGATTTTTTTCTTTTAAATTTTATTTCTATAACACTCATACATACAAAACAAACAAAAACATATGAAACAATCAAAAGACATATAAAACAAACAGAACATATAGGCAGGGAGGTATTTCACATTCAAACTTATCCATTATATGATTCTGACTACAACAGACCTTATGCCCTACTCCCATACTAAACCATACTATATCCATACTGTATCTATGCATATTATATTTCATATTCCTATTTCAAATATTTAGTTCAATATCTAGCATCCTAAATTCATAGTAATTTTTATAGATTCTTTCTCGTGCATTTTCATCTATCCAATTATATTTCAGAGGATCAGAAAATTTAGATTTTTTTCTGACTGTTAACTCAAAGCTGTAGTTTCTTTTTCGTGGCCTCTGTGAATGCACACATATGGGTATTGTCTGCACCTGCGCTGACTCTCTCGGAAGATTCTAGAGCTAAAAGTAACATTTTTATGGTGTGATCCTCCACGAGGTATATGTTACTTTTAGCTCTCGAATTTTCCGAGAGAGTCAGCACAGGCGCAGACAATACCCATATGTGTGAATTCACAGAGGACCACTCAAAGAACTATGGTTACAGGTAAGTAACCTCTTTTATTTTCAGGGATTTTTTAAATGTACAATAATCTACATTTAGTCAAATACAGTCATGTCATTTTCTTGTGGTTGCTGTAGAATGAATCCCTGGTGGAGGGTGGGGTTTCAATTAACTAGGGCTTATTATAAAATCGCACTTTCCAACGGTCATAGCCAGTAACTTTTTTTACCTGGGTGAGGAACATCCGACCCATTCGAGCCTCGAGTGTAAAAACCTAACCAAGCCGGCACTTAAGCAGAGGCTCCAAAGACTTCGGTCTTACCTTTGGCAAACGGCCATGAATCCTCCTACTGCTTCTTCGGAGGCTGCTAGATCTCCTGCTCTCTCAGCCGATAGGCTTCCAGTGGGCCAGTCTACCTCTGACTCTACATCTGTGCTACCAGCTAAGGACACTGTTGAGAAAGCAAAGTCGTCTGGTAAGCACAAATTGCCCTCTTCGCAAAGATCTCGAGCACACGACCCAGGCCCCAAGAAAAAACCTAAGCCTGCTCCTAAGAAGCCCAGGAAGGACAGACTTCCCCGCGTGGAGCCTCCTCAGCTTTCCTCCGTCCTCGAGGAATCATGCAGAGAGCCCCCTGATTTAGCCTCGGATGGAGAGGACATCCATGATGTCGCGCACCCCCCCGCAATGCCACTTCAAACTCCGAGCATTGGCTTCATTGGGGCTGCGCCACAATCCAGCCCGGCCTCAGCCTATTCCAACCCTGACTCAGGGTGGGCAGCTGAAAGCTCGGCATCCGATCCAGAGGCTCCCCCTTCTCCTCCACGGAAGAGAACGGAAAAACAAAAGCACCTCTCTCCACCAAGGTCTGTGGCATCGCAAGGCGATTTCTGCCCCTTCCCCATGGTACCGTATCAGTGTTTTGACCCCTACATCTGGCAAACCCTGTATGAAAGGTACCATTCTGAACAGGCTAAACAGCCCCGAACGACGCCAGACCTCTCCCTGGCCGCCACTTTTATGGACTCGAACCGCCTCCGCGCATCCACTTCTGCCCCGGCAGTCTCAGCTCCATCTGCATGCCTTTCTACCCCATCTAAGTTGACCTCACTACCTCAAAAGCGAGACAAAGCTGTCAAGGCTGTACCTCCACGTCCCACACCTCCGATGCCGGACCCGATGCCACCTCAAGACCCTTTCAGGGTCATGCTGACTCAACGACACCAAGCCCCCAGTCAGTCAGACTACCCTTCATCTCCAG